GGTTCTCGGCAGTACTTTCCTCACGATCTGACAGCGTGAGGAAAGTGCAGCCGAGAACCGGCACTTGCATTTTCCTGTGATCAGCGTGTCATTGGACACCGCTGATCACGTGGTAAAAGGCCGGTGGGATCGGCCTTTCACCACATCTCGTGATCAGCTGTGTCCGTAGGACACAGCGATCACGGAGATCGCCGGGTGCGCGCCCCCTGGGGCGCGCAGGAGAGCGCGTTCTGGGAGGACGTCATATGACGTCCACCCAGAACTAGCCGGCCGCGGTGCAGCCGTCATTCGGCTATGCGCGGTCGGCAAGTGGTTAATTGAGTTTAAAATAAAATATAGTTACAAACAGCCGTGACATGGATTGTTTACTATAATCTCCACCATTCAATTTCTGCCTCAAATTAGGTAGCGTCATTGAACTACATATGATATTGAACTGAAAACATTTACCTACATATGCTATGGCTACCTTTATAAATAAAAATGAGTCACGAAAAAATTTAAGTAATCTGTTCTATCTAGAGCAGTGGTTCTCAACCTTTCTAGCGCCGCGACCCCTTAATACAGTTCCTCATGTTGTGGTGACCCCCAACCATAAAATTATTTTCGTTGCTACTTCATAACTGTAATTTTGCAGTAGGAGGAATAGTGCCCCATCATTGGTGTCATTGGGGGAGGAATAGTGCCCCATCATTGGTGTCAGTGGGAGGAATAGTGCCTCATCATTGGTATCAGTGGGAGGAATAGTGTCCCATCATCGGTATCAGTGGGAGGAATAGTGCCCCATCATAGGTGTCAGTGGGAGGAGGAATAGTGCCCCATCATAGGTGTCAGTGGGAGGAGGAATAGTGCCCCATCATTGGTGTCAGTGGGGGGAGGAATAGTGCCCCATCATTGGTGTCAGTGGGGGGAATAGTGCCCCATCATAGGTGTCAGTGGGAGGAATAGTGCCTCATCATTGGTATCAGTGGGAGGAATAGTGCCCCATCATTGCTGTCAGTGGGAGGAATAGTGCCCCATCATTGGTGTCAGTGGGAGGAGGAATAGTGCCCCATCATTGGTGTCAGTGGGGGGAGGAATAGTGCCCCATCATAGGTGTCAGTGGGGGGAATAGTGCCCCATCATTGGTGTCAGTGGGGGGAATAGTGCCCCATCATAGGTGTCAGTGGGGGGAATAGTGCCCCATCATAGGTGTCAGTGGGGGGAGGAATAGTGCCCCATCCTTGGTGTCAGTGGGGGGAGGAATAGTGCCCCATCCTTGGTGTCAGTGGGGGGAGGAATAGTGCCCCATCCTTGGTGTCAGTGGGGGGAGGAATAGTGCCCCATCCTTGGTGTCAGTGGGGGGAGGATTTGTGCCCCATCGTTGGTGTCAGTGGGGGGAGGAATCGTGCCCCATCCTTGGTGTCAGTGGGGGAGGAATAGTGCCCCATCGTTGGTGTCATTTGGGGGAGGAATCGTGCCTCATCGTTGGTGTCAGTGGGGGGAGGAATAGTGCCCCATCGTTGGTGTCAGTGGGAGGAATAGTGCCCCATCATTGGTGTCAGTGGGAGGAATAGTGTCCCATCGTTGGTGTCAGTGGGAGGAATAGTGCCCCATCATTGGTATTAGTGACACCAATGATGGGGCACTATTCCCACTGACACCAATGATACTTACCTTGCAGACCCCTGCTCCAACCTGGGCTCGCTCGCTCCCTCCCTCTCCCATGGTACCGACACTTACCTGTCAGATGTCTTCCTTCTCCAGCCGCTCTCCTCCTCTTCACTCGCTCGATCTTCGCGGTGCCGCTCGGCTCCTCCTCTCCAAGCTCCACCTCCTTGCCGGTGATTGGCCGCCTGTGTGCCTCTCCTGAGCTACAGTGCCGGCGGCCAATCACAGGCGAGGATTGATCTCGAAGTGTGTCCAGATGACAGGGGCGGCATGTCATCCCGCCCACACCTGCAGACGGCGGTGGCGGCGGCAGCGGCGAGGAGCGGTGTCTCGGTTCCTAAGACCATCGGAAATATGTGTTTTCCGATGGTCTTAGGCGACCCCTGTGGAAGCGTCGTTCGACCCCCAAAGGGGTCGCGACCCCCAGGTTGAGAACCGCTGATCTAGAGAAACTTGATACTATAATACAATATTTTGGTCCCACCTAGATGGAAACGATTTATGAAGCACTCCCTCCCTACTGTGGAACATCTTCTCATTATATAACCATGTTGATACACATGGATCCTGAAAGCTGACCTTGCTAACACACTTGGCAGACTAAAGATCAGAGAGCCCATTCTATCTCCCAGTTCCGCTCACCCCTTGGGTACCACTGCATAATTGCCTCCTTATAGCTATGTTCCATTGGCGCTTCTTTCAAGGTGTTATGCTAAATAATTTCTACTATTTCATATTTGCTAACAACTCTAGCGTAAATGTATATTTGGGCTGTATTAAAGTCAGATTTGAATGTCCATGCTTCAGCTTCTGCATTATGTCTTACACTTTGATGGACCTAATGCTCCTTGTGCATTTCAGTCTAATGTCTCTACTGAGGTAATTAAGATTTCTTCTCATTTTATTGCTCTATGATACTTTCTTTGATTTTTCTCTACTGTGACAATTTTGCACTGTGATGTGAAGACTGACATGCCACTGTGCCAAAGTCTTTGCTTGTCTATTTGTTTCATCTACCTTGTATTATTTTGAAAATTAATAAAAATTATTAAGAAAAAGTAAAACTACGAAGAGAGAAGAAATAACAACCTAGCACTGGTTCTGATGCTTACCTACTCCATCTACAGTTAGATAAATGATTTGGCTAGAGTTCTGTTTTCAAAGATAGTAATTGCACTGAGTGTTCCCTTAAGTTATAAATCTACAAATCTACTTAAATTTAATACAATAACAAAAATATCTAAGATCAAAGTCGCCACAATGATAAAAAAATTCCTTTAAGAGAAATCCAGCAATATTAACTTTAAATATGCACTCACTGCTATACTTTTCTCTTAAAGCATATCTAAAACACTAAAATGTGATATATTGCAGCTTACTGATTCTTACTTGTGGTGGCTGCATTCATTTTTTCCAGTCTTTTTTGCTTTATTGTCATCTGATAACCCTACGAATAAAACACTTGCTGTGTGATTATGGCTATATTGTTTTATCCACTGTATCTATGGAGGGAGTCATGATTGTCACAGTCTGGACTTCAGACATGTCTGTCTTTGTTCATCTCCATTACATGAATTGCTAGGACTAGCAGTTTACTCAATAAATATGTTTATCCTTTGTTTTAAAGGATAAGTTTAGCTTGCGAACATGTTCCCCTCGTTTTTAGTGTTGAACATGTAACATATTCCCACTCCTACGGCTGCTGCCCACTGCACTGCATCTAGAGACAGCAATCACAGGGATTTTCTCCCCCCTCTAGCTGTCACTATTTTAAAAATAACGCCGCCATGCAGGGCTTCGCCCACCTATCCGCGTCATTGATTCACAGAGTTCTGTGAATGGGATACTACAAGTATTGACAGCCTTTGTGGCTGTCAGCATATAGTTCTCAATGGACTGCCATGGTGCCTGTGAGTGCTCTGGTAATTCATTGATTCTTCCTGTCAGTGTGTATCTGCGTGCTGATACGAGGTACAAGCACACAGATACAGTGAAAGGTCTGCAGGAGTCCTGCATATCATCCTCTATCTACTGATCATGGGTGCAATGCTTTACAGTCTCCAAGTAAAAAAAATAATAAATACATATTTACTTTTACCTGCAAAAAGCTGCATTTACTTATTTATTTTTAACCGTAAACTTATCCTTTAAGTTCAGAGGAAGGACATTGCATTTCCTGCAAAATCACACTTTTTTTTATTACTTGGTAAAAATGTTTTTAGCGTGAAAAAAAATGAAAACTAAAGCAGCCACATATAAAGACCGGTAAACTCAATATATAATATTTTTTAGGGTGTTTAGATAAGCTTTGAAGTAAAAGTGGTTATAAAGGTTCAGACTTTTAAAAAAAATAACAGTCCTGTCTTACTTACCTGTTCTGTGCAATGGTTTTGCACAGAGAAGCCAGGTTCCTCTTTTTCTTGAGTACTCCGCCGGCACTCCAGGCCAGTTCCCTGTGCTGTACTTGTGCATGTGTGCTCCCACTCCCTCCTCACTGGCTGTGATTGACAGCAGTGGAAGCCAATAGCTTCTGCTGCTGTGTCCCGGCCAATGAGAAGGGAGAGACAGAGAGAGATTAGGATCAGGTGGTAAGTATAAGGGGGTTGGCTGTGAGAGAAGCTGCACACTGAAGGTCCTATAATTTTATGCATAGAATGCAAGATGGTAAAAAAAACCTTCAGCCTTTAGAACCACTTACACTTGTACTGCAAAGAATATACAGTAGGCATGGGATTGCTGATATTGTTACATTTTTAGGGAAAATAAAGTACTTGTTTCTATCATCAATGCATCTTCCCACTGCTGGGGCCCATTGAAAATTCTTTGCAAATATTGACTTGGATGTCATATCGCGCTGGCATCTACCGTGTTATGATCATTACACCTCACATAGATCATTGCTGCATGTGAGAGGTTTCTGATAACCCCGATTACATATGCTGCAGCAATGGAGACCACTGGAGCTCACAAAATGTTGGAAGTGATCTGCTGGTGCTTCCAGTCCTCCCTCAGAAGTCAGCATATAATAATCACTCCTTAAATCTCTGACAGTAGGTGATAGAAAGCCTCACTTTGACTTCTAGAGTTGGTGATAAGACCATGCACAATGTTCCTGTCTAATCATATCCCTGATTTTTCTTTCTCCTACATATATTTTACTGATGCTGTAGAAGTTTGGTGTGCAATTCTAATGAAGGCAGATGTTTTGCTGAGCGAATCTTAGTCTGCAGCAGCTGTTGCTTGCTCTGTTTCAGCATTTATTAGCAGGGTCTCAGAAAAGATAGACGTGATGAATTACCTCTAATTAATGTCACATGATGGTGCTAAAGTTTGTGTTTGTATGAAAATAGGTTTGTGAAGAATTTGAACAGAAAAAAAGAAGGTTGGATTCATGGAAACAACTTACAAATAATCATTGGTGAATGCAGGATCCGAGCATCAAAATTAACAGGTAATGATACAGGAATGCAATGTGATACGTGTCCAAGGGCGGACTGACAACTCATGGGGCCCCCGGGCAATAGGGGATCATGGGGCCCCTGTGTCCTTGCCCAAACTCAAAAAAGCCTATGAAAAAGGTAGCAGGGGCATCTCATGGGGCCCCCTACTGACCCCGGGCCCTCGGGCAGTGCCCGAGTTTCCAAATGGTCAGTCTGCCCCTGTACATGTCAGTAAAAATCAGAAAATATGCATACTATTAACCATAGCCAGAAGTGTCTTAATTATATTTACCTTTGCTTTTGCATTTAATGTGAACCTGTTATGTCCACTAAAGTGTATAAAAATAACATCAATAATAAGATTGAGACACATAGTGCAAAAACCTGGTTTCCGATCAGTTCCTTAACTCATTGGAAGAACCTTGTACCCCTGTACTGAGTATATCAGGGTTTAAAGTCAAGGGTAAACCCCTCCAATTTTGCCACTAAGGCAGGCCATACATGACTCTTTTTTTTTTTTTTTTTTTTTTTTTTGGTCAAGCGGCAGGTTGGACGAAAATAATGAACTGATTCCCTCATCCTCACATTTGATGTAGGTGGGGGAATCACTCCCATTGAGCTATTGTATTCTGTCAGCAGGGGGCCTTCCCCATCAGCAGAATACAATCATCAGTGTTGCCTGCTATAGCTGATTGTTCGGTAAAAGCACGACTGGCTGGCTGTACGCAAGTCTGTCAATAGATGGACTTGTGTACAACCAGCTAGCCTATACATGGATTGAAATTCGTCTGGTCCCTGCTGATCTGCCCAAATTTTGATCCTTGTAAGGCTGGCTTAAGCCATAAGCTTGTTATTCAACTGTCATATTCTAGAGACTTCCATGACCACAGGCATTTGACAGTTTAGTGACGAAGGTGGGGTACACCACCAGGAAGGGTGTGGCTTGGTCTAGTGACAGAGGTGGGGCACACCACCAGGAAGGGCGTGGCTTGGTCTTGACAAGACAATCTTAAAACGTCAAGGCCCTGTGTTCAGCATGAGTTTAGGATCCAGGATGCCCCCCCCCCCAGACACAAATAATCTTTTGCCTGCATTTTACCTGTAATGTGAGTTCATAGAGTTTAGTCAGGACAAATTCACTTTAAAGGCACCTAAAAGTACAGTAATGTTCCTTTGTACATGCAATTTTCACTGTCCAAAGTATGTAACTCCAGGGTAACAACAATTCATTTACATAAAGTAAAAGAATCAACATTGAATTTTCAAATCCATTTTTGGATATTTGTTAAAAGAAATAATATATTGTACATTACTAAGTGATATTTTCCTAACATATCCTGCTTTCTCAATTGTACTAAAGAACTCCACCTTTAGTTTAACAAGCAGTTTAAAGCTCCATTCATCTCAAGAGCATTTTATGAAAGCAGTGGACCTGTGTGCAAGATCATAGGTTGGACCCTCCGATCTGAGAAAAAAAGGTGCTCTGGTTTTCATTGCGTTGAATATTTCCTGTGGCTTAAAAGGAAGCAGAGTGCAGGGGTTCAGTACTAAGTGACACAGAGATCAGGACTAAGTGGAGCAGAGTGCACAGGTCAGTAATAAGTAAGTAAAAATAAAAATAATACCTGCGCTTACACCAAAAAGCTGCTGCACCAAAGAAATCTTGAATACCGGATCAAATTCTAAATGTACAAAAGTGGTACGCAATCCCCTTTAAATGCTAAGCTTATACAAATAATTCTCTGAATACAAATATACTTGTGCAATATAAACAAAAATTAATAATCAGCTCTAATATACTCGTACAATATGAGCATGAGATTAATATTCATACCAAATAGACATTTATCATAAGGAAAACAACAAAGTCCATATATAATCCAGACTCCACTTAAACTCTAGGTGCCTTAAAGTGTTTGCTGATGAATGAAAACATTAAAGTGCTTCATTGTGCCAAAGTGTTTCCCCACATCCAAGGCTCTTGCCAGATGAACATCATCTCACAATAAAAGAGATAAATCATGCTTTTTCAGTCCACAGAAACTGATGTTTCCACTGTGTAAACTTTAGGTGGGTTTTTGACCCCATCAGTGTATTACAGTAAAGGTTTCCCCACACAGTAATCATTTCAGCAGCCTTCAGACTGCAGCCGCCACACAGTTCAGACCAAGGAACATTTAAAACCAGAAGAAAGTTAAAGCTTCATAGTGCAATATCAGTAAAAACCATTTGTTAGAGTGCTATTGCACTTACAGTGTATGAGAAGTAACAATTGGTGTACAGATTCACAAAGTATGGCCAAGGGACATGTCTGCGCACCATTGCTTGTTGACATCACCAACCCAGCTCCACCCAGGATACATCAGTAATAAGTAAGGCAGACATCAGAGGTCAGGAGTAGAGGTTGGTAGTCAGTGAAGTAGAGTTCAGGGGTAAGGAGAAAGTGACGCAGAGCTCAGAGGTCAGGAGTAAGTGCCACAGAGTTCAGAGGTCAGTAGTAAGCTATCCTCTATTCCACAGTACAGCTCTCCCCCACACAGCTTACAATACCTGTAGCAGCAAAAATTAAAAGTCCACAACTATATCCGCAAGGTGTGCAAAAATGATAATCTTCTATAAGTACTTGCAAATTAAGAAGCAGCATATATTTGAAATATATCTTTAAGACTTTGTGTATTTAAAAGTGTATTTGCTGTATTTGAGTGGTCCAAGCAGCCTCATCCTCTCTTTCTTTGTTTTTTTTATATGTCATGTATTATAAGCAGAATGTTGAGGGGGCTGATGAGTTTTAACCAGACTTTTTTGTAGAGGTGTTACATAATTATTCCATGCATATTTGAGAAGTAGCCGAACCCTACAACTCCATCTATCTCCATATATACTAGAGCTCCAACAAAAATCTATCTAGCACTTGTGATGTGGAGGAGATTGGCTGCCGGTGGAGTGGCAGGAGAGAGGAATGGATGAAACATCCCTTAATCTCCCTGCGAGATGACAGCTGTCAAATAACCAGCAGGATTCAGTAACACCCACTGGTTACATAGTATAGATGCCCAGCAGCTGTGGCGTTCAGCTCCCACTCAGCTCTTTCTCCAACAGACATGGGATTAATTGTTATGTGTGGCCCGCTTGACCCCATGCCCAGATAGAGAACCGGCAATGTGTGAGGGCACAGTGAGCCCATCCTTGGAGACCGTGTGCACTGTACACATTGCACCAATGGGTGATACACCACTGATTTATCTTCATATCAGCTAAGTGAAGTACATTGTCTATTAGAAATTATTTAAAAATAAGATACATCCTCTTGACTATGATGCTGTTATTCAATAAACAGAGGCATAAAAATTTTTTAAATAAATGTTAAATAGGAATGTTATCAATTTTATTAATATCCCATAACTGACTACCCTAAAGATGGAATGGCTTTGAGCTTCCCACACAAATGCTAGGTACAGGTGTATCTTTTTGAAACCACATGTGCATTTTTTAAAGAAGAGAAACATAGATATATAGATAATCAGCATTCTGCAAATTAATATATTCCTTCAATAGTTGTAAGTAGTGATATTCAAATTAGGAGAGTTAGCAGTAAGCATGTATTTGGCCTACCTGATTTTTTGCATGCACATCTGTCTAAGGGCCACAGAATTCAGGAATATGAAATGTACCAGCAGCAAGAACATCTCACATAGGGATGCAAAATAATATTCTTCCTTTTTTAAAAAATAAACAGTGAGAACAGCTTCTGACACGTTTTGTGCTAGGCACAGTGCTTTCTGAAAGACTATTCTTTGAGAAAGCACCATGCCTAGTGTGAAAACACTACAAATTAGAAGTTGTTCCTGCTCTCTGTTTTAATAAAGAAAGAATATTATTTTTCAGCTCAGCGTGCGGTGTTGCTGGTGCAATTGTTAACTGCAGTGGGGATGAGGGCGCCAGCACCTAGGGTGTAACTATGGAATGTGGAACCTGATCTAACCCGGAGCAGCATGCGGTAGGTTTATTATTGGATGAATTCAGGAATATGTTCTATTATGATTCATGAATTTTATAATTTTCTAAGGTTGGCATATACTTGCCAATTAAATTGACTTGAATTCATCTTTAACAGACACACATACTAGCTGAAGGTTAAAATTTACAGTAGGGCTGCCTGCTTCGTAAAACAACAAGTAGGACAAGGATGCATTAGTGGGCTTACTGGAAGTTGAGTTTTTTGTCTCCTTCACTACACTCTATTAGTACTAGTGGACAGAGTTAAATTCTGGGTTGAACAGAACTTACTGTCAGGGCAGGAGCCGAGGAACGGACAGGCAGGCCTAACAATGTAACGCACTGGCTGACGACAACCACCACCCACAGACCGAAGTCCCTCAGGGCGCGGAGTCTAAGTCCCAGGCTGCCCTTCACCAGGGCCCCTGATGGTGGGGATGGACTTGACGCAGCCAGGAACCAGGTCGCGGCCCCCAAGACACCTCAGCTGCGGTAATGGCCGCCGCCAATGGCGTGTAGCTGGTGGAAGAAACAAAAGAGTAGTCAGACAAGCCGGGGTCAACAACAACAGGACAAAACAGTACAGGACAGCAGACGAGAATCACAGGTCACAAGCCGGGTTCAGCAACAGAGGGTCAGATCAAAGGAGAATACAAAGAATAGTCAAGTCACAAGCCGAATCAGAATACCAGGAGAGTCACGAGAGTCAGAACAGAGTAATAGTAACAACAAGACACAAGACACAAGTGCAAAGAGCATGTGCGGGCCACAGGCTTATATGTCATCAGCCACGCCCCTCTGGGGGGTGCACCTCAGAGACCTGAAGGCATAAAAAGGATTCCCATCATGCACAGCAGAATCCAAGATGGACGCCAGCACATGGAGTAACATAACCTCAGGGAAAAGGTAGGACCTTGACACTTACATTTTGTTGTGATCGCCATTCTGTGCAGCATTGTACTGTGAGCCAAGGCTACATGATTATTACCCAAGACCAAAGGAGTGTTTCATTGAA